TTTTTTCCCCCTTTTCCCGCCGACTGCTGCTTCAGGAGAATGATGAACGCGAAACGATTAGCGTGCGACCGATGCCACGCAATGAAAATGCAGTGCAAGACGGATGGCTCCGGGGACTCGGGGGACTCCGGGCAGGGTTGCGCCCGTTGTCGAAAGGTCAAGGCTCCTTGCAATGATAGCGAACCCTGTTGAATTGACGGGAGCGTGCTTACAGGGAGCGTTAATTCAGGAAATGTATGATTATATTATCTATAAAAGAGAAAGAAAAAGGGGGCGGGTGTACGTGTCCTAAATATATCTGCCACCTTCTAAGCGAGGATAGTGGGACACCTCTAACTAATAGGAGAGCACTATACCGTGGCTTACGTGATAGAATATAATATACCCCTTAATTATTACGCTGTGATTAGCGGAACGATTACTTAGCCTATCCTTAACCTAGCCTTGTTTTTAACCTTAAAATAGCCTTAAAGGGTCGTGTGATACCCTTAATATCGAGTTAAAAGGCAGGAATAAAAGCTGTAAAATAGTAAAGAATAATAATAATAGTAGTAAATACTAAAGGAAAAGTGCTATTAATAGCAGTAGTAAATAGGTGATAGTGGGGCCTTCCGTAGATAAATTAAAGGCGTTATACCGGCGTTTTAGAGCTTTTGGATCTTCCCTCTTATAACCCTCGTTCCGTTATTTTTTAAGGATTTTTTAACAATTTTAATCTAAAATTTCCAAATTTTTCCTTTTAATAGTAACAGAAATAATAATAATAGCGATATAGTAAGTATCGGAGCTTTATTTTTAGTAGCGCGTGCTAACTAGTAGCGTTATTTAGGCTCCCCTTACCCTCTCGGCTATCACCCGTGCCGCGGTAGCTAAGAAAGCCTCGGCTAATAGTATAAAAAAGACTAAGGGTAAAGCCGGCACTAAGAAGGGTGCTTCTATAAGTTATTTCCGAGCGTTAGTCTATAATATCTCTGCTCTATTCTAAGCTAACTCCTTAGAAGACTACTAAGGGCAGTAATAATAATAATAAGGATACCAAGGATAATTTTATTCCGGTTCTATTTAATCCGCCCTGCCTAAAATACGTAAAGGGTATTTATTCGGGGAAACAGCGCTTATTTAATTACTATATTTCCGTTCCTAGCCGCTCTTATCGCTACTAAAAGTATAAGGATAGAAACTATATATACCACCCTCTATAAGTTCTTACCCCCTATCTAAGGCGCTTTACGATCGTGATTCTATACTTTATTTCGTATTAGCTTAAAGATATATACGCTATTAAGCTTTACGACCGCTAACCTATACTTATAGTTTTACTAGCCTTATATCTTTAGTTAAAATTCTTTTTAACTATATTATAGTCCGTAAGATTAATAAGGACTCTAACGACGACGATAAAAAGGTACGTTTTTCGCTTTATTTTTAAAGTTAAATACTCTAACTAACTGGTTTCGCGTAGTTCTTCGCTAAGCTTAAGTAAACGGTGAAGTTTATAATTAAACTAATAGAAGACGACGATAACGAGAAGTTCTTTAAGGAGGAGGAGCTTAAGGGAGCTTCTAACTAAGGTCCTAGTACGCTGACTACCACCTCTACCTCTTAGCTTACGGGGGTTATAATAGATATTCTACGGGAAAATAGTTTTATTATTACTCCTCCCGCTAAAGGAAATAGCGTAAATATTACATAGGACGGTGCTTAGGATAGTATTAACGGAGCTTAGTAAATTATCTAGTATACTCGTTTTTATATTTTGGGTTTTGCTTTTAGGTTTTAGTATAGTGTTTTAGTATTATAATAACAAGATACCTTTTTTTACTGAATTAATTATGCCGCCGGTGTGCGGTGCGCCTAGAGCGCAGGATTTTCGACCTTAACTGCTTCTTTCTACCCCCTCCGTGCACTGATTATATTAAGATATACTCGGAAGTTCTTAAATTTTTATCGTGGAAGTGCTTTTATTAATCTATCTGCTAGTATTAAATTCGCAGTAAGATATACGACTCTGAATAATTCTTTTACGTTCTTTTACCTTACCTAAAAGCGCTATATATCTATATAGCAAAGCCTAGTCTTAATCCTAAAGCTATCGTCGACTATTAGGCGTATCGTTTATATATTATCGTAGTGGATATCCTAAGGAGATTCTGGATTAAAGCGTATTTCGACGAAAAGACGCTTTAAACCTATTATTTCCTTCGCTACTTACTCTAAAACGAGTAGCTTTACTTCGGTTATAAACGTTATTACCGTTACTTATCTTATTACTTTCTATATATCTAATCCACTAAATAGACTAATAAGGTAACCCTATAAAGATCTTTATATATCTAAATCGTCTATAAAAGAGGCGTCGCTTACGATAACTATCGCTTATAAACTAATACTCGATCTGTACTAAATCGAGAGGTCCTTTATTATAAATAAATAGCGGATAGCTTAGTCTACCGCCTTATAGTGCTCGGGAGAGGGGTTTCTAAGAAAGCGGGAGAGGATAAAGGCGGCGAATACTATATTAGGATGTATTATAACTACTATATAAAGCATTAATCCGACCTTTTCTTAATAAGATTTAATCTTTTAAGCGGTGGCTTCGTCTTCTCTCTTCCGGTATTCTATAACGGGAATAGGGATTACTAGGTAGGTATTTCGAGCGTCTAATTTAAACCTAGCTATAATCTTTTCGATATATAAGTCGTGGGAGAGGAAAACCTTATATTAAGGGCGATCTTAAGTGATCTTAATACCTAAAAACTAATCGGCTTCCCTTTTTTCCGATACCTCGAACCTTATTTTAATCCCTTCGATAATCCTAAGGCCGTTTATAGTATTATCTTTATAAAATAACACTAGAATATCGTTTATAAAGAAGATAACGAATACGTCTTAAGCCTTAGTGTAGAATAAGCACAGTTCTTCCTTACTAGCCTTTATCCCTAAGTCTATTAGGGTAGCCGCGAAGGTCTAGAACTATAGTCTAGGCGAGTCGCGTAGTCTATATAATACTTTATTAAGCTCTAAGCACTTATCGAGCTACTTAAATCTATCGGGAAGTTCGTATATAACGGGCGTTCCTATTTTACTCCTCTAGGCGTTAACGAAGGCGTTAACGATATTAAGTTACTTAATCTCTAGATTAAACTAAGTAGCTAGGGCTATAATAATACGAAAAGATCGTATAGCGAGCGTTACTATATAGGTTCCCTTAATCATTAAGCTCTCCTATAAGTCCCCTTAAATATATAAGCGTGCCTTATATCGTTCGAGATATCCGTCTTAGTTAAACTTATAGATAAAAACCCACTTTAACGGAAAAGGCTTTAACTTCGCCTCTAAGCGCTTAATTTCTCTCTATATACGCTTCTTCATTAGCTTATTTACCTCCTTCTACGCGGCTTCCTTAAACCGTTTACGTATCGGGTAGTTAGTAAGCTCCCGCTAATACCTTAATATAGCCTTTAGGTGGTCGCGATAAATCCTGCCGTTAATTAAGCGCTTCGGTAACGTTATAGCCTCTCTTTTAGTATTCGAACGGGTATTTATTTTAGTATCGGCTACTCCGAGGATTATTAAATTAAAGGTTAGAAGCCCTTTTAGCCCGTCCTAGCACTCTTTTTTTTAATTAGATAAGAAAAAGGTATAAGTTAAAGGTATATCTGGCTCTGCCTAATATATCTATAGATTAATCCGAATAGTCTTTCCTTAAGCACGGTGATCGGTGATTCTTACGCTAGCGCGCGTTACTTCCTTTACTAGTATACTCTTTTTCCTTTAGTGGGCGGTTACTTTAGGAATCGGTCGGATAGGTGGTTTAGATCCGGATGCTATAGTACGGCTAGTGCCGTGGTGCGAATTAGGGGTAGCTAGTCCTTATACTATCGCCTACGCACTCCTTTCTATAGTTAAAATCGTCGAAGTATCCGTATTAAGCTCTAGTATATATAATGCTAGCGTGTCGGTTACGGTATCTTCTTAGGTGGCCGCTCCGTTATCTTATTAGTCGGAAGAATTATTAATTAAGAGTTCCTCCGAAGACTACGGCTCTACGCTTATAACCTAAAGATTCCTGCTCTAAGCATTAGGTATTACGTATAGGGTTTAAAGTCCTGTTACGGGCGGTTCGGGTATACTAGGTACATCTATATCTAGTAGTGGGGAAGAAGCGTTTATTTATACCTCTACTACTCCTACCCCCGAGTTTAAACCCGTGGACTATACTTATTCTCTAAAAGGTACACTATTAATTAATCTACCCGGAGGATAGGCCTATAGGATAAAGTCGTTATCTTTATCTTCTTATATTTCGTAAGTTATGAGCTAGTTCTCGCCTTAGGCTCCGGGATCTATTCTGCTTCTTCGAGCTATAGTTTATAAAATAGCTACTCGTTAAACTATATATTACGCGTTATAATAACCTTCTAAAGCTATAGAATATATACTCGGTAACTATTATAGGTAATATAACCTATAAGATACTTAATATATCCCCTTAGTTAAACCTTATATAGTTTCCTATTCCTCTTAGCCTCCGTATCCCTCGCTATTAGGTAGGCGCGGTAGCCGTAGGTATAAATACTACTCTAATTAAGGCGTAGGTTGGCTATATACTCTTTTACCGGAATCGGCGTATTATCTCTAAACTATAAGTTAAGGATTTCTACTAAGGATTTCTATCCGTATTATTATAAGGGACTTATATTATATAATAACGCTACCGTTCTAGTACTCTCTAGCTATTTATCTAGTGGAATTCCTGCTCCGTTAAGTATAGTATTAGACTTTATAATAATTAGTTAACCGGCTCTTTCGCTGCCTCTATTCGGTTTATAGGTATAGGGCTATATAATTTCTGTATCGATCCCTTAACTACTCGCCTATAGCTAGGTTATTAAATCCCCTGCTAGGTTAATAATTAAGGGCTCGTTATCACTATATATCTTATAAATATATAAAGTAAACTACCGGTTAACCTATTGTTCGAAGGCTTATAGCACGTTATAAATCGTAACGCTGTTTTTCGAAGCTAAAGGCAGCACGTAGATCTAGTCACTGTATTCGTCCTTTATTATAAGAAGATATCGTATACCGTTATAGCTCTTAGGTAGCTCTTAAAGATCCTAATAAATACGCTAAAACGGTCGTGGGGAGTAGTGTTCTAACGTGTGTCGAGATATAACTTAACGTGCCTAGGTTCGGGAGTATATCTTATAGTCTATCCGCTTAGTTCCCTTTATTAACACGTTCCTAGCGTTACGAACTAATACTCGTAGAGCGCTTAGTCTAAGATAGCCTACTCTTAAGTGCTATAACTATTCTTCGTCGACTCGTGGACGCGGAGGGTCGCGGGAAGGTCGGTAATATCGGTAAGCTCTTATTAGTCGATCGACTACTATAACTAGTATATATTAATAGTCGTAATTAATCGGAATAACACCACATAGTATCGATTAGAATAACAAATAAAAAGAAGAAGATAAAATTAGCTTATACTAAAGGATAGTTATATTAAAGCGTCGAAGCAGCTTTAATAAGACCACGCTCTTCTCCGCTATTCTAAAGCGTAATAAGTAGTTATATCCCGAATACTAGATCCTAACCTTATATAATAGAGCTTCCGATATAATATTCGTGTGAAATCGCTCTATAACGACTATATTATTAAGCTCTAAGTTAGCTTTCGGAGCACCTAAAGGTCTATTAAGGATTCCCTTAAGAAGCCGTTTACCTTTACTAATAATCGGAAAGTCGGTTATACCAGATTTAATAGATCCCTTTATAGGAATAAAGGAACCTAGAATAAGCAGGTCGATTAAGTTAATAAAGTGAGTTACGCCGTAATTATTAAGAAGAGTGCTTTATAAGAGCGGGTAAGGGCTTAGTCGGAGCGCGGTATAAATCCTAGGGACCTTTTCTATAGTATAGATAAGGGCGGGATCTAGGATAGTTATAATAACCTTCCTAGGATACCTATCTTTACCCTTACTACTACCGCTCTTTAAGCTTTCCTATCCCTTTTTCGATAGTTTTTCGCGTAAGCTCTTTTACTTTAGGAGCTTAATCTCCTTCCGTATCTCCTTATACTACTTATTATTATTATAGGTGTTAGATCTCTACTTATATTTTCCGGTTGGAGTGTACTCTAGCTTATTATAGTGCTCTGGCTTTTAAGTATACTCGCGTTAATAAGGGTAATTAGTGCTCTTCTTCTTAGGCTTCTTTCTGCCTTTATTATTATCTAAGCGGTCTCCTAGGGTCGCGTAAACGCCGTGGCGCGTTTTATCTGTGGTTAAAGCACTTATAATAGCGTTAAACTCGCGGCCGTATATTAGAAGATCGGAAATCTCGTCGCCGCGGACCTTTTTTATTATTAGCTCCTAAAGCTTAGTTTCTGCCTAAATAGGCGTAAACTTCTATCTAACTACTATAAGGAAGTTCCGAATAGTAGTGGGTCCTTTAATCTCGGCTACCTTTTACTAATATACGCGTTTAATAAGGGTATTCTACTCCGTATACTATATAGCCACTTTAGTATTAGCTCGATAAGCGTCTTATAGATACTTTTTATATACTCGTCTTATCTCTTCCTTCGTGTGAATACTACTTAGAGCGAAGCTACTCTTAAGTTCTTTTATTATATAGCGTAACTTAAAGTGTCTATTTTATTTTTCCTTATCGTAGCCGGGATATCTCTTAATAGCTTCTTCGATAGCCTATTAATAAGTAGAGGTCTCCACAGTGGTTTTAAGTAGTTAATTAGCCTTATCGAGCGCCTTAATAAGGCGACCGAGCTTTTAATTCTAGGCTATAGTCTACTGGTTCTTAATTTCGGCGAGGCGTATAAGCTCCTACGTTAAGGGTATAATAGTATCGTCGCCCTCGCCTTAGGAATACTATTCGCGTAGTTAATCCAGGGATTTAGGTATAATATACTTAGGACGGTTATCTAGCTAATCCTTTTAGCTAGGATTAAGTAATGCCTAAACCTTTATCCTTTATATATACGACTAGATATAGAAGATTTAATCGGCCTATTACCGCGTGGATTTAAGGCGCGGGATACCGAGCGCTTTAACCGTAATCTCGAGCTTATTCGATATAGTATCGAGTAAGGGTTTAGCGAATAAGAGCTTATTATTAGGAGAGAGAGCGTAGGAGGGCTCCGTAATACTATAAAAGTATATAAAAATAAACGTAGATAATAGATTAGCAGGAAGTTACTAGTTACTACTACTACCCGGGCTTATAACTATTAAATTAACGGGAGCGTGCTTATAGGGAGCGTTAATTCAGGAAATATATAATTATATTATCTATAAAAGAGAAAGAAAAAGGGGGCGAGTATATATATCCTAAATATATCTACCACCTTCTAAGCAAGGATAGTAGGGCACCTCTAACTAATAGGAGAGCACCATACCGTGGCTCACGTGATAGAATATAACAAACCCGGAGGCCAGGGAGGCCAGTCACTAAAACCGGCAATAAGATGAACCAGAAGAGCGTGGGTAGTGCTACTGTCCAGTCGACAGCATCCGCCTTACAACCGCCAGGTCGGCCTCGGGCTCACGAAGGTATCTGGGTCCAGGGCACGGGAGCAGCTATCACCGACCCAAACACCCTCTCGGGCCTCTCCACCACTTCCCAGACGAAGACGATATCGCGGGTCGGTCGAAACTACTTAGAGCATCTTGCGCATTTCCACCACTTGTTCCCTCGAAAAGCGGTTTTATTGGACTCCGCGACGTCGTCGTGCCCATGGCCGCAGTGGCTCCACATTGTGATGTTCCAGTAGAACTTCATGTCCTCACAGTCGGGACCTAAAAGAATACCAGAACCTGCGGCTGGCCGAGGAACACCAAAGACGAACTATTTGAACTAGAAAGAGGCTTTTCATCGCAATGCCGCAAGATTGTTCACAGTAGCCGGTGTCGGGCCCGTCCGGACCCGGGATCTCGGGAAGTGGAGTCGGCAGTTTTCCTCCTTCACCCCGCCCGCCTCAAGAGGTTGGTTGCCCCACGTCGGGCCACACCGCGGCTTGACGCAGAATGCTTCGTCCGTCGTCCCATTAAAAGCCCATCGCGGAAACCATAGAAGATAAATTTGATCACCAGTAATTCCTCCAGTCCTTTGCAGACTCCGAACTTCAATTCTTCAAATTCACTTTTTCGGACTTTGTCTCCGCCAAGACCCTCGAGTCACCACGCCACCATCTCAATCAAACACTTTCACCCACCAGTGTCCCCATCATGCGTCTCCCTTACGTCCCCAACCCGCCCCAGACGGCCAACGAAGAAGAAGCCGCCGTCGTCTCCCGCATCGCCGCCCGCCGGGCCCCGCGACCCCTCCAAGCCCTAGACCTGACCCTGCTGCACTCCCCGCCCGTGGCGGACGGGTGGAACTCCTTCCTCGGCGCCGTGCGCACCCGCACCACCATCCCCGCCGACCTGCGCGAGCTCGCCATCTCCCGCGTCGCCGTGATCAACCGGGCCTGGTACGAGTGGATGCACCACGCGCCGCTCGCCGTCGCCGCCGGCGTGAGCCAGGCGGCCATGGACTGGCTGAAGACGCAGGCCGGCGACCTGGCCGGCCTGGAGGACGGGCCTAAGGTTTTCGACGAGAGGCAGTGGGCCGTCTTGCTCTTGACCGATGAGATGACGAGCAAGGTTCATGTCGCGGACGAGACGTTCGCCAAGGTGAAGGCGCTGTTTAATGATAGGGAGGTGGTCGAGATTGTGACGACGGTAAAAGTCCCCCTGATTCCCTGCCAAGTCTGTTCGTTCGGCCGTTAATCGTTGAGGGGAAAAAAATTCAAAATCTTCAACAGGTCGCATGCTACAACTGCGTAAGCCGGTTCCTCGTTGCATTGGACGGTGAGTCAAACAAGTCTTTTGCTGTATTTCCATCTAAGCTTTCCTTCCTAATTGCTCGGGGCTACAGTGGGAGAGAGGAATGGTACCGACCCAGACGCACCAGGCGTGCATTGAGTCGGATAAGAGGAAACAGACCACAAGTGGGCCAGAGTTCGGCCCATGACGTGACGGAATGAGGATTAATCATATTGAATTTGCGGGGACGTGAATGTCAGATGCTCTACTGTGCTGTTGCCACAGACGATCATGATCGTGGCAGCAATACAGAGGAAGTGTTGGGTAAGGGGAATATGGGCAATGAAGTTCGGATGCGGCACAAAGGGAACAGGGTATTCGATGCTGTGACAAAAAGGGGGTATCCAGAAAGGGGCCGGGGGGAAATAACAACAAGGGAAACAAATTCAGAATGTCTCTCGTTCACTCATACACATACACCTTATAAACGTCCCAAACCCACTGCAGGCCGTTTCGGAGCGACCTCCATTCCAGCCAATATGAAGTCCCCGCGTAGATTGTCGTCTTAATGCCATGCTAGAGGGCGCGCGCCCGCTCTTCGTATTCCCCTTCGTAACGGTAGGCAATGTGTCGTAAAGCAAGAGGCAGAATTATCGTGATTCGAGGGCTCGTGAAATGCATCACATCGTGAAATGGGGAGGGGGGGAAAAAGAAGAAAAAGAAAAACGAAAAAAGAAGAAAAAAAAAATGGCGTCAAATGCAAGTGCCGTCATGAAATGGTGTAGCCGAGGCTCAGGCAGCTCGTCCTAAGGAAGTCGGCTCAATGCCAACTCCTGATCGATAGACCTCTCAATCGAGGCATGCCTCGCCTTCAGTTTGGGGCTCTTTTGCAGCTCGTCCACCACTCCCGCCCAGCCCGCGCGATGGCCGGGTCTCGTACCGGAGGAGTAGCCAATAGCTTGCGTCGTCAGCCTCCGCAGCGGCGGCTTCTGCTTGATCTCGTCCGTCATGGACCGCGACAACATGGCCGGGGTCGGCGCCGGGCTCGGGGTCTCGGGGATCTGCGAAGCGGCCGGGGCCGCCATTCCCATCCTGTCCATACGATCCTTTTCCTTTTCCCTGGCGTCCTTGGAAGACAGGTGCGGCGGCGTCGCCTGTTGCTGTTGCTTGTCTGCCGCCGTAGTGGCCCGCTCTGCTACGAGCCCGAGGTAGACGACGAGGAAACGCATGCGCATCATGTCCAGCCTCCGCATGCGCTCCTCCAGGTCTTTGCGTGTGACGGCCCATAATGCTCTCGCGGGGAACGTCAATTTCTTGGTCGTATCGGTCTTGTCGTTTTCGTCGGCATCGGCGTCGGCGTCGACATCGGCGTCGGTGTCGGCATTGGTATTGGCATTGGTATCGGCACCAGCATCACGGCTGTTGGGAACGAGAACAAGGAACGAGTGGAGAGCTTCGCGCAGGTCGTCGCCGCCCCGCTGGATGTCGCGCAGTAGGTTGCTCAAGCGCACCTTGTCTTCGAGGCGAGGCACCTTCGTCAAATGGCGGTCGTAGCTCTCGTTCTCCTCCACCGTCGCGTCAAGGGTTTCGAGGAGGAGGGCGACTTCACGGGGCGCAGCGAGGTAGGCAGTGGCGTGGGTGGTGAGGAGTTGTCCGAGGACGACGAGGGAGAGGGAAAAAGCGGTCAGGGCTAGGAGGATAGCCCATTGTTGAAGGGCCGCCTCGAGCTGCGCCATGACAGGAGCATAATAGAGGGCGGGTTGAAATTGAAAATAACGAAGGGGGGG